AATACGCTTGGCTTTGCTCGCGAATGAGTTAGCCATGGACACTTTTTGGTTAATGGAAAAAAAGTTAATATTCCTTCCTACAAAATAGAACCTGGGCAAGTTATTAGTTTAAAAAAAGAAAAGGTTAAGGAAAACAAACTTATTAAAAATAATTTAGAACAAAATATTAAAATCCCTTCTTATTTGGCCTTTGATAAAGAAAAATTAACCATTACTTACTTACGTTATCCAACTGCCGAGGAATTAAGTAAAGATATTAATGTTCCATTGGTAGTAGAATGATACAATAAAAGGGTGTAAATTTTAAAGTTCTTTTTATAGTAGAGAGATAAAGTTTATATAAGGTATTAGTAATAGAATGGTGAAATTAGTATATAATAAAATTATAATATAATCTATATGACAAATACCAAAAACATTATCCCTCCTTACGCAGAGGAAGTAATCATCAATCAAGAAATAGAACAAATCCAAGAAATACTTAATAAATTTAAACAACCCATCCCCTCCAATTTTAAAAAATTAGGGGACTTAAAAAATATGTGTTCCACCCAAGGGTTGAAAAGAATCAGTTTGTGAAAGATATGGTTGTTTATCAATGGTGAATGAAAACAAATTGATATCCGTCATTCTCTTTTGGAAAAATTAGGACTAGAAGCAAAAAATATTCCCTATCCGGTTCATATCTCACCTACAGTGTTGGATAAGGGATTAGACCATTACTTTGCTTATAATGTCGAGGATGAAGAAGAGATATTTTTAGATATACCCCTCACTATTAATAATTTACCCAGCGAACTAACCCGCTGATCAATTGAAATAGAAAACTTAAAAGATAAAATTACTAATTTGGAGCAAGAAAAAGAACAAAATCAAAAAACCATTACTGATTTACAAACTGAAAATAATAAATTAACTAACCGGGCAACTGCTTCCCAGAATGAAATCACTAACTTAAAAAAGTGAAAAAACCATATCAAGTTTGAGTTGGTTCCCCTCCTTTGGCCTAACTCTATTTATACAGAGGACACTCCCAGTGCCAAGACTTTGGTTGAAAAGATTAAAGAAGAAATGAACCGACCAATTCCCAGATTAAGATCCAGAACAAGTTCAAGCCTTAATCACTAACTTAAACCAACGACCAACCCAAGAACAATTAAAAAAACTAGAACAAGAGTTAGAGATAGAAAGGGGTTGGTGGGATGAATGGTTTAATTCTCAGCAAATTTGTAGAAAAATAAATGGTTTCGGAGTTGAAATTAAGAAAGGAGAAATAGACACTTCCCCTTGAAAACTTAAAGATTTTTCAAATTCACATGCTATTACTATTGAGAGAGGATACATGGTAACTTATGATGATTTAGGATTTTTAAAGGAAATCCAAGTCGAAGATGACAAAGACAAACCTGGTGAGCAAGAGTTTTTTGTCATGAAAAAAGAAATGAAAAAAAATAGAAAACCAGTCTTCTCAATCTACCAACATTTTAAAAATGAATTACAGAGAGAGTCTAGCCAAGCATAAATTAGAAGACTTCCTAAACTGATTGGAAATCCAAGTTACAAAAAGGAATAATTGGGAAAAAGATGATTATTATTTTTATGAGGAGGGTAAAAAATTCTTTAATCATGTTAATTTGTGTGGATTATCAGAAGTTGAATGAAAAAAAGAGGTGGATGAGAAAGATAGTTAAATTTTTATTTTTGATAAAGTTTGTGTTTTAAAATAAATTATTAAGCAAATAAAAGAATTATCATGTTCAAAGGAATTAACGAACAAGAAGTAAAAAAAATTGAAAAATTTTTTAATCAAAATCCAGATTGTTTAATTTTTTCTTTCGCGGACTTAGAACTATGCGATAAATACCAAAAAGACAATCAAGAACGAAAAAAATGTCGTTTACTTTCTGAGGAACTAAGTAATAAATTACACCAAATATATTCAGACGGAAAAAGTGGTTATATTCCTCCTATAAGGTTTATTGATTTTGAGTTAACTAATGAGGATTATGGATGTTTTCCTGGCAACGATGGTCATCATATTACTTATTATTATTGAAGTTATGGTCTTTGGTTAAAACTGGACAAAAAAGATATCCGAGAAAAATCAGAAGTGAAAGGTGAAACTTTATGTTTTAATTTTGTCCCTGCCCGTCGCTACACAGAAACATTATCTCCCGAACTTAATACACTTCACGAAATAAGATCTAGGTTTTATGATGCTAAAGCCCAAGAATCCTACTCCGCCCGCACCTCTGCCCTCTCCCAAATCAACAATTCTCTCACACAAGGCAACATTGACCTAACTGAATTAGGAATAGAATATTTTTGTCTTCGTGAAGAGTGCCTTTGTAATGGTGAACTTTCTCCCACCGAGGAAGCCAAATATCACATAACCCACCTTAACAAATGTTTATGAAGACCTGACCGCATTAACTCATTCAAAGATGAATTATTGGCTCTCATTCAACAAAAAACCATTGAACTCAATAATTATAAAAACTTAGTTCTGCAAGAAATCATTCAAAAAGCCAATCAACAAGGCATCACCGAAACCGAATTAAACAACACTCGCCAAGGCTGACAAGACCATTTAAAATCTTTAACCAATCGAGAAGCCATCACCAACTACCAAACCACTCAAATCGAAAAAGACATCAAAAATCTAGTCTCTGCCAAATCCAAATCCGCCCAAGAACGTCAACCAGCCGAAG